TTCAAGGTCTTGCAGAATTTATGCGACTTTGACACATTAACTGGGGACCACAATTAGGTTTGACTTTGAGATTTACTGACGCTGCTCTAAAGAAGTTAGACAAATCTCAGGAAGGTTTGAAAATGGCAGAGAACAGTTCATTAGTTTTTTTTTTTTGAACAAGGTATTGAAAATGCATTTTCATTGTTTCATCTCAGAGTTTGATTTATCACATCTTCAAATCCCGTTCACTACCTAAACTTCCCATATGCGCATGTCCATGGTTGTGCCATGATTATCAATATGCTTAGGAATACACTATACAATATTTTAGAAAATAAAAATGGTTCATCATGTGAGTTGTTAGGGGTAAGCTTGGAAGAAATGAAATAACAACTGTCCTCCTTTACCCCTGATTATGAATGCATCAAAAGACTCACTAGGTAGAGGACTATACTTCTGTTACCTAGATATATATTTTAGAATAATGATAAAAAATAAGTAGGGAAGGATTTTTATGATTTAAAACGAAGTTGATTATCATTCATTTCTTCAGCCATTACTTATGGAAGGTCTACTGTATATTCAGATACACATTACATAAAGACATCGAAGAGACAACCAACACACAAGGTTTAGTCATGATACTCAATAATATGCCAATAATTTGACAGAGGAAAAAACTGGAAGAGAGAATAATTTTGAAGTTATATACATGTTTGCATACTAATGGTGTATTAAAGGTGGCATGTTAGAGCCCCTTCCTAGCATTTTTATCTAGTTTTCACTCACGTTAAGTGGAGAGGCATTGTTGAAATTTTTATTCTACATACAAACCAAGCACAGAGAGAAACCTGCTGCACTCATCCATCTTTATCCTATCAGCTGCTTGTCCTTCTCATGTACTTTTGGGTATGGTAATGGATCCTGGCTTCTTAGGCCAAACAGCTGCCTAGATGAATGCAGCCCCAAGAGCTCATAGTAACTCCGCCCATCTTTTGCTTGCTTGCAGTCCCTTGGGCTTTATGCTACCGTTTACAGGTCACAGACAGGGAGTAAAGGGGCTGTGAAGGATGGAGCTGAGGTGATATGCACAGATGGAATTGGTTGGTATAGGATGGGACTTCTTAACTTTTTCAACTCATGACCATTTTGTATTCAAGATTTCTTTTTACACAAGTCTGAGTATCAAGAAACATAAAATAGCTACACAAACCAAACACTTAATGATAACAAATCATAAAGACATTTATTTTAAGATAGTTTTTCTGGTACACCTATAATTTTAGCATTTAGTAAACATGAGGGCAAATTTGCATATTGAGCATGGATATTTGCATTCTTGGATATATTTGTTTCTACTTACAGTATCAAATCTTGGCTAAATATTTGATTAAGCATTTTAAATGTTTCTCAGAGTTGATAGATGCTTTTATTTTTTTAATTGGCCTCTTTTCATAAACACGTAGTACAAAATAGTGTTTCAGTCTATTAGAGAAATTGTTGGAAATTCTGCCTCAGCCAAAATTCATTCAATAATTTTTTTGAAACTCAAGTCATCAGCTCAAATGGCAATTTTTGAAATCAAACATTATAATACAATGCAATCTAATGCTATACTAATTTGATACATGCTGAGGAATGCTGGTAGGAAAATACTGAAAGTCTTTGATTTCCATCATTAAACCATTGTATTTCTGTATGAGAAGAAAATTTTGTGTATAGCCAAACACAGCATTTCATAACAGGAAATGTGCTTGAATTTGAGCTGAGGTGTGGTGGTCTGAATGGAACTGGACTCCACAATCTGCCTGTGTATGCTTAGTAACCCTGTCTTAGTTAGGGTTATTATTGCTGGATAAAACACCATGACCAAAACAACTCAGGGAGCAAAGGGTTTATTTCACTGGAACTTCCAGTGAAGTCAGGAAAACAAATCAAACTGGGAAGGAACCTGGAGGCAGGAGCTGAGGCAGCCCCATCTTATGGAGACATATTATCAGTTGAGGTTCCCTTCTCTCTGATGACTTTAGCTTGCGTCAGCTGGTATAAAACTAGCTCGCACAAATTCTGAAGCTGGCATACCCCAAGCCACACGTCCTTGCATTACTCCCAAACTATACATGCACACAGTTTTGTTTAAGGTTTATAAAGCCTCAGCATGCATTTTCACATTGCGGCTTTTGCAATGCTCACTGATGATTTTTGTTTAAGAATAGTGTCCGACAATCCTGACCTCTGCAGATGTCTAACATTGTGTGACCATAAGAACATCACACAGAAAAGATCTGAGCCTTAATGTAATGTTTTGAAATGAAGCAGTTATAAGAAGACTTTTGTTTTTCAAAAAAACAAAGACGAACTTTTTTTTACATTAAAGATTTATAAGAACTTCATGCTCTATTTATTTTCCTAAAATGGATTCATGATTGACAGCATTCAGGTTATTTAATCTTGACTAGTTTCCCTGATGGCTTCTGTGGGCTTTTATGGGTAGGGTAGATGTTTACTTCTACTAGGTGCCAGTAGTTGGCTTCTAGGACACTTAAAATGCATGATGAAAGGGAGCAGATGCCCCTGCTAGTGATTACGGGTAATGTTTTAAAAAGAAAGAAAAATAAATAGTATTATCAAGATGTGAACTCCTTCTGTATTATCAACCCATCTCATTATCTTCCCTCTTGTAAACATCACATGACACCAAGAATCACCATGCTAGAGAACATTTCAAATGAAATAATCTCAGCTTAGTGGCCTCACATAATCTCCCTGATCCAAACAATGGCCTTGCAGACATCTTGCCCTTCAGTTCTGCTTTCCAGCCTGGACTTAAAAGCCTCTTTCTGTTTTGGCCTCATTCCTTTTATGTGTTTTTGAGTACGTAGGAGGCAATGCCTTTGAACTACTGAAGGAGAGAAACTAACAGGGCTTCTGTATCATTATATAAGTGAAAGGAAACTGATTGGCCATCATAGGCAAGATCGGGCATAGTTGACATGAGGGAAAACCTGTTTCATAATGTATCTGGGTGATCTTTGCCCAGTGGTACTCACATTGGATTAAAAAATGGTATTAATAAGATTTCTTCCAACATGCCCAAAGGTGTCCCTGGGCTGTTAGTTACTAAAGCCAAGGACAAGGCTATGAAAGAGAGCTCTTCCCTTGAGTCATGGTGGTGAGGTACACAACAGACTCGGCATTAGACACTTGGTTATTATTGCAAAGGCAATGAATGATAAAATGGCTTCTCCGAATCAAAATTTCCCTCAGGCCACATGGAAAGACCTGTGTTAAGGAGTAAAACAAAATTACCTGTGGCCTATTATCTGGTGACTTGCTTGGGAGCCTTTACTTTCTAATTAAAGCCCCAATTAAAACTGATGAAATGTTGATCAGTTTCAGAAGAATAAATTCCCAGCTCTACTTACTAAAGAGGGGTCTTTGCCAATCCCTAACTCAAACATCTAACCCACTTACTGTAGATGCCTCAAGAGTCATAAGAAAGAGGTTGCACTGCCTTCAAAGCAGAGACTGAAACTTGACCTTAGTGGTACACTCCCTTTAAGAACTCGCCTAAGAGAAACTAGGATATCTCCAATGGGCTGAGTGTAGGTACATGAGGTAGTTGGAGATTCGAGGAGGAAGAAGGCCATGATGGCTAAAGTTCCTGTTCTGAAGAGAAGAAGTACGAACACTGGAGAGAACTCCTCTTGGCTAAGATCTTACATGTGGTTGGGAAAACAACTTTACCATTCTGAGGGAGTTGAAAATAAGATCTGGAGTCCAAGAGTGAAATAAAAATCAGAGGTAAAAGATGGAGATCGTAAACATTAAAAAGACAGCTGAGTTCTCCTTGTAGCAGATGGAGATTCATAACTGTCATAAAGCAGAGAATGACTGATCACGGGGTGGACACACCTGCTGTACAATCCCTGAACTCAAGACTCAGAGAACATCAGGAAAGAAGGGGGCAGGAAGATTATATGAGTCAAAGGACCAGGGAGTCTTCTGTGAGACTGTATCTCCTAGAAATTCCATGGAAGATATACCCATGAAATCTTAACAATATGGTTGCCTAAGCAAGACCTGAACAAAGACAGCACCAATAGACATCCAAACATGGAGGAGGTTCATGGTGTTGAACATCTAGACATAGACCTACAGGCAACTTAGGACTACTGAAGGAGAGAGAACAAATTTCCCCCAGAAATTCATAGTGGGTTATCCAATACCAAGTGGTCATTCATAAAATTATATATATAATTTATATGTGAGACACTAAGTGGACTCACTCACCAGGTTGTATTTATATTTAAGTTTTTTATAAAAATATAGCAATAAAAAAGAGGTTATGAAATTTGAGAAGGAGCAAAGGGGAAGGAACAGACTAAAGGCAGGAAAGGGAAGGGGAAATTTTTATAACTATATTTTAATTAAAATATTACTAAATTAAACAAAAAAGATGATGAGGAGTGAGGATCAGATAGGCCAGTAGAAGAAGATACAAGGGAAGAAAGCCGACTGAGGTCTTCAGCCACAGCCATGCATGGATGCTGAGACACCTAGGGCCTGTGGAGAGCTGAGCGTCATCTACTGGTCTGCATACTGTTCTTTTCATAATAGGAAACACAGAAACCTTTTCAAAGCATGAATTTGCCACCAGAAACCTTCCATAAGCAACTCAGTAAACCACTGTGTGTCTTTCCATCACCACAGGCCAAAACATGATTCTAGGCAAATCTGCAATCTCCATGTAATAATAAGAAAATAAGAAGAAAAGGGAACGAAGCACCTGAGTGCCTTCCCCATTCCTATCTTTAGGAATAACCTAGGGTTATTTATTGTGCACTAAACAGGAGCAGCGAATCCATGGTGTCTTCCAACGATCCATTGCTTCTATCAAAACAGACAAAACTCCAGCATTTCAACATCCCCTGCCTGCCCTCAGTATCCCTGTATCCACCAGGTGAGTTCTGGTGAGCCGGTAGAGGTCAAGACGCAGGTTTTTGGGCAAAACTCACCCTGGGGTCTCTCTCCAGCTGCTGCTTGTGGTGTAGGCTGCGTCTTCTTTTGGCCTTTGCAAGGCCATTGTGATAAAAGTGATACAGGCCTTCTGCAAAGGGGAGCTGTGGAAAGCCAAGCAGACAGGAGGGTAGTTAGTTTCTGGACTGGCACCAGGATATGTACACAAAGCAGGAACTGTGTGAGGACACAGCTCAGATCTCTTGTTAGACTCCAAACCTCCATGCTCTTGCTTTCCTTACTGCATATCTGGTACCTATTTCTTCCTCTTTTTTCAAATGCTTTTTTTATTCTCCCAAGTTGTAGCTTTTTACATCCCATCTTTACACTCTCACACACACTAAATTCTCCAACCTCTTCTTCCAGAAAGTGCTTATACAGCACATAGTACCCAGATGCCCCAGGGCTGTGCTGTGACTAAGTACTCTTACATACCAATTACCTACTCTCTCTTGGGGTTTCCCTGTGTCTCTTTGGTACCTCTCATCTGGTTGGGAACAGTGTGGTCCCTTAAATCGGACAAGTGCCTGCTGGCTGCCAGGCCAGCCTCCACACTGCTTTCCTACATTCCAAGGGCACCTGGAATCAAGTGTGAGTGCCAAGACCAGAGAAGAAGCCACAGCAAGGAGAGCTTGCTTACTCTACGAGTTACAGAAGCTCTAGCATGCACTGCCATTTGGTCTATGGCCCCAGGCAACTTGAGGGAAGAGCCCTGAGAGAAAAGCTTGAACTCCTGAATGTTTCCCATGTTTGTTATCATTTAACAGGAGGTTCTTGGGCAAGTTACCTCCTTCTAGGACCCTCTCTCTCTTTCTCCTTTGCATATATGTATCTCCAAGGTTTCCAAATCTCTGTTACTCTTTCACATGCCTTCATAGTGATGAAAATAAGTTGCTTGTAGTACTTATTCTGAACAGTTAATTTAACCAAATGCTTCACAATTAAGAAAATAATGGGCGTATGTCCATTTTTATTGGAGAGAAGACACATGGTTTGCATGAGATTTTTAAAGGGGTTCCTGAATGTAAGTGTTCCACCATTCAAAACATTTGATGGTAAACTATAGGTGTGTGTTCCAACCAAGTGCTTAGAAGGAAAGGGAAGAGGAGGTGAATGCTTTGAAAGAAGCTTTTCAAAATTAATTGAGGCTTCTTGAGAACTTTCACATCAAGTAGGGACTCAGTGTGGCACAAATATTTCTTAATTAACTATCATCATTATAAAAGGAGAATATAGTAGATTTAGAAAACTAAGGAAAACACAAATAGAATAGACAAAAGAACTGGATTTTTTTAAATCACCTTTTCTTTATTAGTAGTATTTGGCTTAATGGACACAATGGGCAATCTTTTTCCTTTTCTTTTCTAAGTCAATCCACTGTCAGGAGAAAACTATTATTTTCTTAAATATATGAGTTAATTTTGCTCACATATATAGTAACTATTAGGCATTATTATATAAAATAGTTTTTCATCTACCCCTCACATGTTATTACACACTCTACTTTTACCTCTCTGTTAGTAGCTGTTGCTATGACACAAGAGATACCATGATGTATTTAGACTTTCCATTGCTGATGTATTCTTAGACATTTATTCCTCTCTTTCTTGTTTAATAATTGAAGACACTGCTGTGTTTGGGGACAGCGAGATCTTCAAGAATGATGAGTTGAGGAGCTTCAAGAATCACTTTCACAGAAGCACTGGAAACAATTGCCAAGCAACCATTTCAGAGTTCGGAAAATTAACAGGAAACTTGAAGCCTCCCGAGGAACATTTAATCAAGCAAGACAGTACTCTGCCAATAATAACCAAAGACTTGTGGGGTTTATAACATGTCCCGTTTGCCCACTGATGCCAAATTCTATGGTTTCTTTGAAAGCAGATGGCTTCAAAGTCATCTCAGCCACCATAGTATGTGTGTAAAATAGCAACTTAACAGACACAGGGGATGTGCCCAAGATTGGAGTCATTCAAGAAGCCCCATTCCCAGATAACAGGAAGATATCCAGAAAGTCCTATTTATAGAGCTAAAGTTTGTTATATGACTCCAACATTGTTCGCTGAGAAAGGTTTTATATTTGGAGCATTTGTTGCAGGTAGTTTGTGGCAATTACCTAACACCACAGCTTCTTAAACTAGGAACTGTGGTCAATGAATAACTGGCCCGAAAACTGCAAAGAAAAATATGGAGAGAGACATATTCACAGAGGTTTTGCCAGTCACAATGCTTGTAGAGACTTAGAAGGTGACACATACGAGAGAACTGTTCGAGTAACCAAAAAATACCTAAAAAGATCTCAAATGTTCACTTCTGACTGATCTTGAAACTCTATGGAAATAGAAGCTGAAGGTCAAAACAGACTTGCAAACTTCTGCCCAAGCATAAGCCTGCCAGCAAAGATAAGAAACCCTTACACAGTCACTATCTTTTTTTATTTTATTTTTAAAAACTATCTTTTCTCATTTTACATACCAATCTCAGCTCCTACTCCCTTCCCTCCTCCTGTTCCCTCCATTTCCCCCCTCTACCACACTCCCCATCCACTCCTCAGAGAGAGAGAGAGGGTAAGGCTTCCTAAGGGAAGTCAACGAAGTCTAGCACATTGTTTTGAGGCAGAACCAAGGCCCTCCCCCTATATCTAGGCTGAGAAAGGTATCCCTCCAAAGAGAATGGGTTCCAAAAAGCCAGTTCAAGCAGTAGGGATAAATTTTGATCTCATTGCCAGTGGCCCCATAGTCTGCCCCAGCCACCCACATTCAGAAGGCCTAGTTTGGTGCTATGCTGGCTCCTGCACTATCAGCCTGGTGTCAGTGAGCTCCTACTAGCTCAGGCCAGCTGTTTCTGTGGGTGTCCCCATCATGGTCTTGACCTCTTTGCTCACATTCTCACTCCTCTCACTCTTTACTGGACTTGGGGAGCTCAGTCCAGTGCTCCACTGTAATTCCCTGCCCCTGCTTTTATCAGTTGCTGGATAAAGGTTCTATGGTGACATTTAAGATAGTCATCAGTCTGGCTAGAGGACAAGGCCAGCTCAGGCATCCTCTCCACTGTTGCTTAGGGTCTTAGCTGGGGTCATCCTTGTGGATTCCTGGGAATTTCTCTGGTGCCAGGTTTCTAGCTAGCCCCATAATGGCGCCGTCTATCAAGCTATCTCTTTCCTTGCTCTCATCTCTGTTCTGCCCCCGTTTCTGTCATCCCATTCCCTCAAGTTGTTCTCCCACCTCCGCTTCTCTCCTCCTTGTCCCCTTTCTACCTCTCTTCTTATTTCACCCCCATTCTCCCAGTTTTCTCAGGAGATCTTGTCTACTTCCCGTCCACAGGGGGATCTATGTATGTTTCTCTCAGGGTTCCCCTTGTTACTTAGCTTCTCTGGAGTCATGAACTGTAGGTTTGTTATCCTTTGCTTTACATCCAGTATCCACTTATGAGTGAGTAAATACCATGCTCATCTTTCTGAATCTGGGTTACCTTGCTTAGGATGTTTTTTTTTTTTTTCCTAGTTCCACGCACTTGCATACAAATTTCAAGAAGTCATTAATTTTTACCCTTGAGTAAATGTACCACATTTTCTTTATCCAATTTTTGGTTGAAGGACACTTATGTTTTTCCAGGTTCTGGCTATTACAAATAATGCCGCTATGAACATAACTGAACACTTCACATCCTTGAAGTAGGTTGATTCCCATTTTTCTGAGAAATTACCATATTGATTTCCAAAGTGGTTGCACAAATTTAAATTCCACCAGCAATGGAGGAGTGTCCCCTTACTCTGCATCCTCTCCAATATAAGTTCTCATTGATATTTTTGTTCTCAGCCATTTTGACTGGTATAAGATGGTATCTCAGAGTCATTTTGATTTGCGTTTCCCTGGTGGCTAAGGATGTTGAATATTTCCTTAAGTGTCTTTGGCCATTTGATATTCTTCTGTTAATTCTCCCTTACTCTTGGATAGGTAGGATCAACACAATAAAAATGGCAGTCCTTCCAAAAGCAATCTACAGATTTAATGTAATCCCCCATCAAATCCCAACACAATTCTTCATAGACTTCAAAAGAACAATACTCAACTTCCTATGGAAAAATCAAAAACCCAGGATAGCCAAAACAATCCTGAACAATCAAAGAACTTCCAGAGGCACCACCATCCCTGACATCAAGCTCTATTATAGAGCTACAGTAATGAAAACAACTTGGTATTGGCATAAAAACAGATAGGTTAACCAATGAAATTGAATCGAAGACCCGGATATCAATTCACACACCTACAAACACCTGATTTTTAACAAAGAAGCTAAAATTATACAATGGGAAAAAAAGCATCTTCAACAAATGGTGCTGGCATAACTGGATGTCAACATGTAGAAGAATGCAAATAGATCCATATCTATCCCCACGCATAAAACTCAAGTCCAAATGGATTAAAGACTGCAATATAAATCTGACCACACTGAACCTGATAGAAGAGAAAATGGAAAGTAGTCTTCAATGCATGGGCACAGGAGATCACTTCCTAAATATAGCGCTAGTAGCATAGACACTGAGGGCAACAATAAATAAATGGGACTTCCTGAAACTGAGAAGCTTCTGTAAAGCAAAAGACACAGTCAATAAGACAGAAAGGCATCCTACTGAATGGGAAAAGATTTTCACCAACCCCACATCAAAGGACTGATGTACAAAATATATAAAGAACTCAAGAAATTAGACATAAAAACCAAATAATCCAATTAAAAATGGGGTACAGATATAAACCCTGTCACTATCTATAAGAAAATGTCAGTCCAATATTTGGCTGACTACCAGGCTAAGCAAGGAGAGATCAGAAGAGCACTCAAAAAGTCAGAGTTCAGAGAATTAGTCTAGGAAATACACCAAATGAAAAAGCAAATAAATCAATATAGCAACAATAAGGCCCAGAGCATCAACCTAAACACAGGCAGTGGTGTCAATCTCACTTCCGGATTTTCTGCATAGTGTTTCTTAAAGCAAACTTTTAACTTTCTAAGTAGTTGGTTTCAAGTATTTAATTAGTGATGCAAAACTGAATATATACACATGTAGATGAGAAATAGAAAAACTACATATGTAAATCTTATCATT